TGTGTGTGTGTGTGTGTGTGTGTGTGTGCGTTGATAGGGGCTCATCCTTTACAGAAACCCTCCAGTTAACGGAAAAAAACCTGCCTTTACCCGCGAATGTGTGCGTATGAGACTGTTTCAGGAGGTAGATGGGGATGAATCGCACAGAAACATGACCTGGTCACATTTTATCCCAAAAATCTAAAGAAAATAAATATTATAATTATATTTTGAATTAAGAAAATGAAAACATTTTTTTATTGTGATATTATTTTCATGGAAAACACATTTACCCCCAAATGCTCATTACCATAAATAACTAATAATTTATATAAAATTTCAACAAGTATCAATTAAAGGCTGTACCTTGCTACCATGATGTAGAAATATTTTACAATTAATTTACAATTTATATATATATATATATATAATGTAGGTGCACACAACTGTAATTAAAATTATTGCAATTTAAATGCTACAATAAGTATAATACAAACATATATGTATTTTTAAAAAATGTTATTTAACATGACAATAATTATAATGGGATTTTTTAAATAAAATGATTGGTATTACACACATTTTCACCCAAATTTTCATTAAATGATTTCATTTCTTCTGTAATTCTTGCTATTCTAAATGGTGATTCTGATTACTGTAATACAATTTTTTCTGCCTACATTAAAGTTGTGCAATTAATATTACTGCACACAATGTCTGAAAATTTTACAATGTAAATGTGTAATGTTAATGGGGTAAATGTGCTTAACTGTCATGAAAATAATGTCACATTTGCAAAAAAATGTTAATGGTCTGAAAAACAGGCTTTATTTTCTTTCTATATATATCTATCTCTCATTTCTTTTGATTATGATGGGAAATATGACCCAGACATGTTCTTGACAGATTTTGTGAGATTCGCCTGTGTGTGTATTACAGCATTAATGTGTATCTTCATCGATGTTACAAATAATCAAAGTGTGTGAATATGCTGCTCTATTTTCTCATGGCTTCCTTCCGTCTTATAATGAGACTCTTTTTCTCTTTTCTCCTCTGAAAAGAGTTGGAGAAATGTGAGCTGCACTTTTTAATGATGTAACACTGAGAAATATAATAGCAATTGCTAATACAATAATAAATAGTTTTTGTATTTTAAGGGAGGAGGATTTTAAAGAGCAAACTTTGCATTCGGGGAGGCTGGACTGGGCTGGACTAGACAATCTCTGTCTTTCTCTCTCTATCAAAAGCTTTGTTTTTCTGTATATGAGATTGGTGTGTGTGTGTGCTTGTCATGATCGTGTCATTTATGCAGACCGGCTGCTCGTGGCATGACGAGGCATGTGTTAGTGTGAGGTGTGGTGTTTCCGTGGAGGGTGTCATTGCCATGGGGTCGCTATGGGGACGGAGTGAGTGTGCAGTTGTGTAGAGACGCTCAGCTTGACATCGAGACACAGAAGCTGGCCGATTTCTCACTCCCGCTCAAGAACAACTAGTTATTCTGGGCTGAGACCTTGAACAGGACAGACTATT